TATTAATATTGCTTCATATATTCTGATGCTCCTTTGGTGCATATAAAATATATCTTTTTTTACCAGCCCACCTGGTACACATTAATGAATATCAAGCCCTCCTGTGGATTGTTTCCTTAATCCCTCTCTCAGCACCTTCTTAAACTTTAAGTCTATTTTATCAGGTATCTGATGTTATCCCTACCAGTTTTAGGTTACCATTTGCCAGTAGAGTAAAGTAAAGTAAAGTAAAGGCCCTCCCGTTGATCATCAATTTGCTCGAGCGGGCCCAGTAACGTCTCCATTGGAGACTTTGTTGTTACTGTGTCTGGCATATCGAATACGTCACGGGGAGCTTGCCAGGCTCTGCCGTGCGGGCGAGATACTCTCGGTAGCTTGCTGGGCTCTCCGAGAGGGGCAGAGGAATCGAACTCGGGTCGGCCATGTTGGCTGCGTGCAAGGCAAACGCCCTACTGCTGTGCTGTCGCTGCAGCTCGCTTCGGCAGCACATATACTAAAATTGGAACTATACAGAGAAGATTAGCATGGCCCCTGCGCCAGTAGAGTAGTTTTTCAATATTTTACTTTGATCCCTATTTTGTATGTTTGTTTTTGGGTCAGACCCAGCTGTGCTCATAGTGTACTCCTGAATCAGCACTCAGGGATCACTCCTGGTGAGACTTGGGAGACCATATGGAGTACTGGAGATTGAACCTGAGTTAGCTGCATGCAAGGGAAGAACCTTACCTGTTGTATCATTGATCTGGCCCCAGCCCTATTTTTACTACTGGGTTTTTAGTGGATCTCCTAGTGTTAGTTGACCTCCTGCTCACTCCTCAGGCAGAAGGCTCGAGTTTATTTTTTGATTTATTCCACTATCCTATGCCTTTTGATAGATGAGTTGAGGCCACTGAGATTTGAAGGGCCTTCTTGGTGCTGGGGGCTACCAAAACTACATGCTATGATACCTAGGATGCTAAGCACAGCCCAGGATTGAACCTGGGTCCTGTATAGGCCAGACATGGACTTCCAGCCATTCTGTCTCCTGGGCCATTGATATTATACAAATAATTGCCATAAATGAATGTACACATTTTCCTACGTGGATTCTATATTATTGCAGTTTGACTCTGTTTTTTGTTCTCTTCTTCTCCCTTGTGCCTTATCTGTCTTTTGTGTAGAGACAAGGTTCCAACTTCTTTTTCTTGTTTCCATTTTGATTTGACATTATCAAAATCTTTACAATTATGGTTCTAGGCTCAAAGCCTACTTGAAACTGCAAGCAAGTAAATTTTTTTTTTAAGCAAGTAAATTTTGAGTTGGTTCTGGTTTCCCTCTCCTTCTGTCTTGTTTTATACACTTTACGTATTCTAATTTTTCAAAGTTAAGTTTCTTTACCTCTTATAGAAATAATTTTAATATGTCTTACAAGGCTGATGAAATGAATTCTATTCACTGTTGTTTGAAAAACCAACACTCCATTAAATAGGAGTGAGACACTTGCTGTGCATTTTTTTGTAGGATATCTTCTGCATTCAACACTTTGAATATAATGTGTTACTCTCTTGTGGCCTTTAGAATTTCTGTTCAGAAATCTGCTGATAATCTTATGGAGGCTTCCTATATGTGACTCTTTGTTTTTCCCTTGCTGCTTTTAGGATTATTTTACCTTTATAGTTGCTGTTGTTTTGTTTTGTCATTTTACTTACAAAGTATTTCCTTTTATGTCTGAGGCTATTTTCTCTGAACTCTGAAATTCCTAAATCTTGTATCTATTTTCTTCCTCAATTTTGGAACACTGTTGGCCATTATTTCTTCAAATAAGATTTTGGCCCTGTTCTTTTTTCTCCTTCTGTAACTCTTATTATGAAAATCATGTTCTTTTAATGTCCAATAAATCCCTTACATTATCTTCATTCCTTGAAATTTTATTATTTGTTTAGCTGGTAGTTTTAGATGATTTCCACTATTCTATCTTCTGGCTTACTGATTCAATTGTTGTTCTCTTCCATTTTCCTTTGAGTTCCTTTATCATGTTTTACTTCAGTAGCTGTATTCTTTAGTTTCAAGATAACTGTTTGGATTTTTCCCATACTCCCCTGGTCTTGTTGAAATTCTCTTCCATTGAGTTCCTAATTTCATTAGGAACCATAATGAAATTGCTTTGAAGTATTTTTCAGGTCCTTTACATAGCTCTGGTGTAATATGAATGCTTCCCAAGTTTTTGTCCTGATCCCATTGGTAGATATGAACTCCTCTGTCTTCTCAGTATGTCTGATGTTCTCTAGGGTCACAACTGTGTGTGGCACAAGTTATGGTGGCACAACGTGAGTGAGGGCTGGGGTTCCAAAATCACCATGAGCTTGGCAGTAACTGCAGTGCAAAGGTTGCATGGGGGCCTGGGTAGCAGCTGGGGAGCTGGGAAAGGGATAGGCCAAAGTCACAAGACCAGCTGGTCCAAGACAGAGTGTGCCCTCAGGGCCTTGCAGGGAGCAGTCTGCCTGACCATACGGGGAAGCAGCAGGCTGCAGAGGGCCCCCTTTCACTAGCTAATTAAGTTCTGGGAGCCCCCCCTCCCCCGCAGGAGGGGCTTGCTGGATGTAAAGAATGTGGCTTGCTTGCTAGCAGGCAGGTAGAAACTAGTAGAGACTGAGCCTGTCTGCCAGCAGTGAACACTCGCTTCGGTTTTATTCAGTACCCAGCTGGCTGAGTTAATGCCCAAGAGTGGGTGGAGCTCTCATCCGGGTTCTGCCCTCGAGGTCTAGTTGAGTGAAGGGGAGGTTCCAACATGTCCTGCTGTGGTTAGCAAGGTGCAAGAGTTCACAAAGGTGGTCTATGCAGGCGGCTCCCACCCTGGTTCACTGCCCATATTTTCGCCTCCTATTCCATTCTGTAAGTATGAGGTAAGGGACTCCTTCTCCTGTGGGTTGGGAGCTATTCAGACAACTGCCTGGACCTCAGAAATCTCTTTGTGCTTATAATAGCTTGTGGTGCACACGACAGGGCTCCTCTCTTGACAAGGGACTCTCTGTCTCCTCTGCCTGGATGCTGTCAATGTATCCTTTGCTATAGGAGTTTTGCTTGTCCAGACTGCAAGTTAACTTTCATAAATGACACAGACAATGCAACTGGTAAATTGAGAAGTGTTTCTTTCTTTGGACAGAATGTCTCCCTGAGACATGGCTGTGTCTCATAGTTTATATGTCCCAGTTTGATCCCTGGAACACATATAAAGCCCCCAGGCACCACCGGGAGTGATCCTTGAGTACAGAGCCAAGAGCAAACCCTGAGCACAGCCAGGTATGGTCTCCAAACCCAAAAGAACAACACAAATAAAGAACAACAAAGCCTATTTTTTTTTTCTTTTTGGGTCACACCCGGCCATGCACAGGGATTACTCCTGGCTCTGCGCTCAGGAATTACCCCTGGCGGTGCTCAGGAGATCATATGGGATGCTGGGAATTGAACCCGGGTCGGCCGCGTGCAAGGCAAACGCCCTACTCGCTGTGCTATTGCTCCAGCCCCAGCAAAGCCTATTTTTGAGAGGTTATCAAAAATGTTAAGTCACCACACTGCCTCTCATTGTCAAAGTTTATGGACAAATACATCTGTAGCTAATGTGGCCCCTATCTTAATAATTATCTTTTCTTGCCCTCTTAGGTCATATCTAAATGAACATGTAAAAATGTCATTTTTATTAAGTAATTTTTTTGGTGATTGTTTATACACAAAAATGCTCTGGAAAGCAAGCTTTGTACTTCTTTTATGAATGGTGTTCATCTTGAAAAGCATAGGAAGGGGTCAGGAGTAAAATAAAATTCTAACTTTCCCATCCTAACTCAATGAGCACATTTCTGAATGGAATGCAGCAAATCCAGTGGCGGGTGGAGGTGCCCAACCTTCCCAGTACAATGCCATCTCTTTAGAGCAAAGGAAAAAAGCATAATTTGTTTTAAAACAGCTTCACCAAGGGCATTTTTCTTCCACCACTTAAAAGCAGACTCAACACTGACGCGGAATTGAATCTTAAGAGCAGCCTCTGGTGAGTCAGTATAAGCCTACACAAGAAACGGTCAGCCAAGGCAGCAAAGTTTGCTGAAGTAATTTAAATTACTTGATAGAGTGATTTGTTAAGCATTTGCTCAATCTTTCAGAACAATAGAAAACAAAGGTAAGGCATTTTACTACCAATCCTATTCCACCTCACCCACAGGCTTTACTCTATTCTTATAACTATGTTACTTGGTTGTTCTTGTGCAATGTCTTAGAATCGTATTTCAGGGAGCCACACCGACTAGACCAGCCTTACAGCAGGGGCTAGACCAGACTAAGTACATCTCCTATTGTCTCCAGAAACTCCATGATTGATTTGGTAGCTGACACTAAACAACTTCTTGCAATTTGTAATTGGCAGTAATTTGGCAGCTAGCCTAGGGGTTGTGTACTATTTGAGTAACCTGTCATGCTGAAGTCCTGTTCCAAGTGGCCCATGTTTCCACAAAATTAATTCTACACTTCGCCATCCACCCAAGAAAGGAAACCACCAGGCCTGAAATTATTTATGTTTCCTGATTTCTTTCTTGAAAAGGGCATTGGTTTCTTCTCAGCACAGACAAACAGTTCAGAGCATATCAGTGAAGAAAATAAGTAAACATTTTAGCAATAAGAAAGTGTTCTTTAGGTTGCCAGTGTATTCCACAAGAAAAGGCCTCATTAACTCAATGGCTGAAGTATGCTTTGAGGGCCAGAGAGATAGAGTGGGAAGGTGCATGCCTTCCACGTGGAAACTGCTGATCTAGAGCACCACTGGGTCTTCCAAATCCTGTCAGGAGGAATCCCTGAGCACAATGCCAGGAGTAAGCCCTGAGCACCACAGGGTGTGACTCAACCCCCCACTTCCTGATCAAACAAATAACTCCAAAAGGCCTTGCCAGCTTAAAGGCATGCTAAATTGTATCCCTCTTCTTGTAGGTTTGCTTTTTCTAGTTTCTTCAGCAACAGAAACTTAAAAGTGAACTCACCACTCCATAGGAATAAGTGTCACACGTTTCAGACACGGGGAGACTTTGGATAACCTCTGGAGCCATCCATGGGAACGTTCCAACCAAGGACATATGTGTGGTGTGGTTATGGAACCGAGAGGCACCGAAATCACAGATCTGAGGAGAGAGAGGCAAGGATCCATTTTCTACTTATTGATTAGTAAGAGAATTATCAGTCACATAACACTACATCTGAAATTAACAAATGCTTTTAATTAAATGTATTAGTCTTACCTTTAATACCCCATCAGCAGCTATAACAACTGAAAGAAAAAGATAAATTATGACAATCATGTTATTTGTTTGAATTACCTTATGCTAAAAAATTAACTTCTCTTTCTATCTTCCATATGGCACCATGAAAGGTAAAATCAAAGTGTTTACGGCATTCAGGTTGCATAAAGGAGCTGACATTAAAACAATAAACTAATTTCAGAAACTACTGACTAACAAGTCATTGAAGACATTTGTTTAATCCAAATGCAGTACTAATCATTAATAAAGAGCATAGATGAGTAACATCTCATAATGAGAACCCAACTTTGATCTATTTTCTATCTCCAGACCACTCACATAATCCTTAGGAAGTCATTAGCATTATTATTTCATGGTATAGGTAGCATTCCTAATAAAAGAGTAATTTTCTTAGAGGAAGAGAAAATATTCAGTAATCTGCTTACTTAGACATTCATTTATGTAACAAATATTTGTTAAGGGTAAGACAATGTGCTATGCTTGGGAATAGGAGAGCAAGTAAAATTGGCATTATCTTTGTTCTTGTAGAGCTTACAGTCAATAGAAAAGGTAATTAAACAAGCATCTATAATAAAGTGGGATACAGTCTATGGAGACAGAGATCACCATAGAACAAAAGAAAAAGGGATATCTTAATCTAGGGAGGGCAGAAGAATATTACTTAAGAAAAATGCTAATGTTTAGATCTGAATAATAAATTGGGTTAACCAGAAAGAGGGGACCTGGGAATAGCCTTGGAAAGAAGTAGATTTCCAGGAAGAAGAAAGCGTATACAAAAGGCCAAGAAGGGAGGAAAGGGGAAGTAATTTTGAAAGGAAAGGGACGAGTGAAGAAGAGCCTTTGTGAGCAATGGAAAGCCTTTGGATTGTTTTTAAGTGAAGAAATAAAGTGGTCCAATATGCAGAAGGGAGAGTATATTAGAGAAGAACTGAAGAGGTATATTATTGTGCATTCAAGTTGCTATAATTCAAAAGAACAGTAATTAAATATCAAAGATCATAAAATATAGCACAAAGGTCAAATCAGGACTTGGGGATCAAATTGTAATTTCTTTTAATCTAATTTACCTTTTTATATATTTTATCACTAAGAAAGTGAAAACCAATTTTATTTTTAAAGGGCAGAGAGAAGATAAAAGGACCAATGAAGGCACAATACATAGATTTGAACTTGAGATCTATTTGAAAGGGTAAATAGATACTTTTATGGGAGTGGGTGAGAGTAAGAGGAGTAAAAGTCAAGAATAGAACCTGACAAACACAGTAGATGATTAATATGTTATTAGATACTATTAATGTCTCTGATCAATAGGGAAAGTAATCTCTAGGTATTTAATATTTAGCCTAGGGATAAAAGTTAAAAAATCTATAACAAGCTATAAACTTAATAGCATAAATACCATAGTCAGTCATTGTAAAAATATCTTTAAATTAGTCTTAATATAAGATTAATAAATGCTCTTTAAAATATAATAGAAAATAAAATATAAACTACAAGAGTCATTTTAATCCCTCTCTTCATAAAAGAAATAGCTGTATATTTGGCTTATATTGTTTCAGTGAGTATTCCTAAATAAGTATTGTTTCAGTGAGTATTCCTAAATAATTCCAAAATGTGATTTAATGAAATGGAGACATTCTTCATTGCTATTTAGTTTTTATGATGACACTGTAGAGTAACCCATAATTTAATAATTCTTATTTCCTGAGGTACTTGGAATCTATTGGTAAAGTAGATCAACAGGAAAGAAATCCAGTAACATAGTTTGAAATTCTGGGTGTGAATTTATTTTATAAAATTTTATAAAACCATAAAACTTTGATATTTCCTACTAGCTCTTAGATTGTTTTCTTATCCTAAAGACTTCCATTTAGCATATGGTATATCAAAGCGTTTACTTCTAAAATATTATGTCTAGGGCACCTTTTGGATCTTGGCATCTTTTCGATCTAAGAAGATCTATACAAGAACAATCAAACAGTGTCACTTGGCAGGGTGGGGCTTCAACTCAGAATACTGATAAGTGGTAGCTGCCGACTTCCTTTTTATACCTTAGGAATTTCACAGTCCTGGAGGATAAACAGGAGCAGCTGGTCAACCTTCCCTACGCCTGTTCCTCCACTTGCCATCACTACCCATTTCAACAATCTCGGGCTATTAGAAAATACCCACATTTTAATTGCAACTATTTAAGGAGTCTCTAAAAAGGAATGATATTTTTTTCTTAGAAGAATCACTTGAAAGCACAGAAATAAATTAAAACATATAACTGAGTTGATAGCAAGGTGGTTTTTGTTGCTGTTGTTGCTTTGGTTTTTTTTTTTTTTGGTGGGGGGACTATTTTGTAGCAAACCCTGATAAAGGCTAGCTAACTGATGTCACTGCCTTTCTGTGTTAATTTTCAAGTGATGTAATCTAAGAAGCATTTTTTTTTTACCTCTTCACTTGGAGGTAATGTCTAGTTCTGAAAATCATTTTCAAATGTGCATTCTCCAAATTATAAAATACATAAGCAAACTTTAGAAAGTGAAAAAAGAAGAAAAGAAAAGCATTTACTTAAATATGTTAATTATTTGAGGGAAATTAGTCCAAGCAATATGACTGACAAAATAATTCAGAAATAACAAGGTGGGGGGATTACCCCTCAAAATTGCTAGCACAGAAAACAATTTAAAAATAGGAAGACTAGAAACACACGATTGAACACTTTGAACAATACCTCTTTTAGAAACTATTCTAGAGAAATAATTATGGCTGTGTTGAAAATTTTGCCAAAAGATATTAAGCTCACTAATTTTTTATCATTGGAAAAAAGGAGACAACCCAAATGTCCACATTCTGTGGTATTCATATCATACATTACTCTGCACTCTCTGGAAACAGTGTGAAGAATTTTTATATTTATTAACAGTGGAAAAATTTTCATGATATCTGTGGCAGGACAAACAAAAGTTTACAAAAGATATTGGAAGCATGATGCTTATATCTGCAAACACACACATGTATTTTGTAATAAAATGAGTAAAGTAAAAACATATGACTATATTACCGTTTCTTGACTTGAGATCTCTATGAATCACCTTGACAGGAGCCTCCATATGTAAATAGTGCATCCCTATTCACACAGGAAGAAACAAAGACATTAATTATTTTCCACACTGCATCCAGGTTTACCTTTCATATTTTTACAAAGTATTCAATGGCAGAAACTAAAGACATGTGTTCTAATCTTCTAAGTATTTGGTAAGAATAGATAGTTTATATATAGCTATATTAGAAAGTGTATAAACTATATTTATAAGTAAAAATTACATATTTTACCTTATTGGGGGACACACCTGGTGATGCTCAGGGATTACTCTTGGTTCTGCACTCAGGAATTACTCCTAATGGTGCTTGGAGAACTTGAGCTGAGGATTGAACCCAGACTGGCCGAGTGCAAGGCAATTGCCTCACCCACTGCACTAGCAATCCAGCCCCCCAAAAGTTATATTTAATCTCTTAAATATTGTAATTTGATTATAGATAGATAAAGTTACTACAGTACCTAATAAGGACACCTTAAATTTCTGAAGTCTGCTTGAAAGTAGCACAGTTTCCACTATGAAGTGCTCCAAGGTATTCCACCACCAACTACATTTTCTCTCAGAAAACCTTGGGAGCAAAACCTCCAGTCTGTATTTGGGTGTTTGCACTAACCCAGTTCCAAATTGGTTTATTTTCTCAGTACTCATTCCAACTAGAACTTGGCAGTGGAGGAGGGGTAGAATTTGGAAGAACCGATCAGGTTCTTTAGTCCAGGCTGGCAAGAGATGTTCAAATACAAAAATATATAGTAAGTTATGAAATGTTTCATTCTTTTAGTAAGAATAAATGTTTGAGATAATTTCTATTTAAGTGCACTACTGAATTCTCTCCAATATATTTAGTGTGTAAGTAAAGTTCTATGAAATCAATGTACAAAAATTAACTGAAACCTACATTACATACTTTAAAAGGCATATATCTCATAGTTACCCCCAGTAATGTTTTTTTTGGGGGCAAGGGCCATACTCTTGGGGTAACATGGAATACCAGGGATTGAACTCAGGCCTCCTGCATACAATATAAGTGCTCAGTCCACCGAGGTTTTTTCCCTTTGGCCCCAGTAACATTTTTCTGCAGTATTATCTATTACCTTCAAATAAAGAAAAAGAACAATTTTTACTAAACCAATTTCTTTCCCTTTATTTCTCAAGTTGCCATTCTAAATAATGGAACAGTGCTCCCCCCACCACTTCTTTTGTTAATAAACTATCCATTGAACATAAGTTAATAACTAGCCTTTTGTTCTTTTTTTAAGTAGATAAAAACTTCAATTTTATAAAGGCTAATTTAAAAAATAATTTATTTTTTTACTATACTGATTGTTATATATTAAGGAATCATAAAAGAACAAAGAAAATAAAGTTAAAATTCTTGCCATGTAATGATATTACTGAAAAGAGTCATGTTAACAAAAGTATTAGTAATTTAGACAATCTTTAAGAAGTGAGTAGAATAAAGGAAGTCTTTCTTCTATTATGAAATTCTATAGACTTCAAACTGTGAAAATTCAATAGTTACAACTTGGCTAGCTTTTAGTAATTTTTATGACTGAATTTCATAGTTGCTTCTTTCTTGCTTTAAGAATCAAATTTCTGAATACTTTTTCAGGCATAATTTGTTTAATAAGTATTAGAGATAGAAGAAGACAGATTCTATACTTGTTGGTAAGAATTTTTTTTTAAAAATACACAAAATATACCATATTTTGTATATAGTGAACAGAATATATATTATAAAATATTTAGTATATATATAAAATCAGCAATAGCATATAAAATTCCATTACTTTTGTTTTTATAGAGTTACCTACTATTCTGATTCACTTGTATTTCAAACAATTAGAGAGGTTAAAAATACTTTTATCAGACCTGTGATTCAGAGTTTCCTAAAAAGATCTGGCATGTTTCATTTGGGGTTTAGCAGAGATCTGGAATCAATAGTGATTTTGAGATAGAGCAAAGTTTATCTGCTTTTTTTTTTGCCTCAATTGGCAATGCTCAGTGGTTAATCCTAGCTCTGCACTCAGGAATTACTCCTGGTGGTGCTCAGTGGACCCATTTGGGATTTCAGGGATTGAACCTGGATTAGCCTGGATTGGCAAAACAAGCGCCTGACTGCTATACTATCTCTCTGGGACCTAAATTTATTTGCCTTAAAATACTCCTTTTATGCTTTGCAGGTGGACTCAGAGAATTTTCAGATAAACTTGCTGGTATTCTTTCTGTATGATCTCAGATAAACTCTCCCTCTATTCTTTTTCACACTCAGAAAGAAGAAAGTTATTTATTGGCTTAAGAAGATTTTATTCTTCTGTGATCTTAAGCAACATCTACAGGCATGAATCAACTTGGTTTTAAAATGAATTGTTAAATCTTTTACTTATCAATATTTTGTTGCTTCAGCAGCTTCAATCATGGTTAAACTCAAAAGGACATAGCTGAATTGGTGCAGAAGCAATACAAATCAAACCCTTGTTCTACAAGTTCTACAGTGAGCATTACTAGAGTGGATCAAAGTCATTCCAAAAGTCTTGACGTCTTCTTCCTTTTATAGGCTATTTTAAATTTTAACCGTGACTGCTGTCCATAAATAATTCTATTCTCTGCTTTACTTTTATCACTTGAGGCTCAACACATTAAACTTTGATTTTGATATTTATTCACCAGCCACAAAAAAGATAATTTTATTGATGTGGTTTGGCTCACTGGTGTATGATATACTTCTGTTCTCTCCTTCCTTATTCTTTCCTATTCCTTCTCATTCAGGATACCAACCTTCCTGAGAAAACCCAGAATTGAAGGGTGAACTGGTACCAAGAGACTTGATCTCTGATAGGAACTTTACAGGGGAAGGGGCCAGGAGAGCAGGGATATTTAGAGTGTGCCCAGCAGGAAGCAGGAAGACTGAAGTCAGCACATTTGTTTGCTGTCTATCCTCCCAAGTGCCATTAAGTAATAACGTGGTGTATATTTGACTGAGCACCCTACAAGCAAATGACTCTAAGGTGAAGTGCTTTAAATGGAGAGAGAGAGAACAAAAGGGAATGACCTGTCACAGAGGCAGGGTGGAATGGAGAGGGGGTGGGGGTGGGAGGGATACTGGGATCAATGGTGGTGGAAAATGGGCACTGGTGGAGGGATGGGTACTCGATCATTGTATAACTGAAACCCAAGCACAAAAATTTGTAAGTCTACAACTGTACCTCATGGTGTTTTGCTAATAAAAATTTAAAAAAGGAAAAAAAAGAAAAAAACTAAAGAAAGGACTACTTGTCTATGTGCTTACATTTATGGAAGTTTCCACTATGCTTCAGGCAGTTCCAGTAACACTGCAATGCTTGGCTTACAAATGGGTGGTCGCTGTGTATACTGACACTCAGCTCTGATGTCACATGAAAATGGCTTCAAGAACGCAAGATTTTAAGACTGACTTGAGATGCCTGAAGCCTGAATACACAATTAAGCTAGAAACAGCCAGTCTTAAGTACATCATCCTAAATACTGAATTATTATTTTTATAAAATAATGAAATATATCATTCAGCAGCAAATGTAGCATGCATTTTTTTCATTTTCCCTCTATATAGAATTTTTCAAGTATTAAAAAACTTGAAAGTGATATGCCAAGTTTCTAAAGAAAGAGTATTATTTTTATGAAAGCAAAGTATAAGAGGTTTTCCTCATTAAGTGCTACATATCTTTTTATTTGCTTTGTAAAGAAATGTTTATAGATTCGAGGACCAAATGCAAGTAGTTTACTGCATTAAAATTTGGACACAAGTGGTTCTCTCAGGGTTGCTAGAATACAAATGTAAATATAAGTATTCATTACTTAGATTACATTGTATCCAAATACATGTTTTAAAAGTTAACAGTAAAATTGTAAACTCTTTTAAGTTTAGGTAGGAGGAGATAAAATTAAATGTCATTTAGATTGCTTTAGAATGCATTAGTCTGCAGGAGTTAATTGGGTGGGTGGGGGGAAGAGGCAGGAACTGGACAGGGAATGGGGTTTTGGAGCCTGGGTGCCCTTCTTAGTATTTCTATATATTAAAAATGTTTAATTTGCAAATTGACATTAAATATAACAAAGTTTGAATTGTTTCTACATGGCAGGACAAATCAAAACTTTTGCAAGTGGTCACTATTTTTAACATTATTGCATACACAAAATGAGTAGAACTAATCTTGCAATAAATCACCTTTCTGTTAACTGAGCCTAAGGAGAGAATTCTAAGATCAGGAGGCAGAAGATCAGAATTTTGGTCTTTCCATTTAATGTCTTAAGAAAACACTAAATTACAATATCATAAGATATGGCAAAAATGGTTATCCTGGAACTCTTAATTTTATTTTGGAACTTGATTTCAGGAAAAGAAAGCAAAGAGAAAAGAACTGCAAGGGTGGAAAGACCAATATCATTTCTCCAGTGGGAGAAATCTTCCTGCATTTAGTCTGGAAAACGGAGAACATTACAGAACACAATTCTGAGTTTAGTTATCCTGGGAGATCAGTCTGTATCAGTGCCTCAAGAACATTTGTTTGTGCCAGCTAAGGGGGCAGGCTTTGGTGGCAGGAAGGAAAGTGGGGACATGGGTACAGGAAAAGCCACACTAGTGGTGAATTTAGAATGTGTTGGAACCCTGAATGCCTGAAACAACAGTATTATGAACAACTTTGCAAATGATGATGTTAAAATAATACTGAAAAAAGAATACATGAAGCATCATTACCTTTGGCTACATCAGTGGCCCAGGTCATAATGTGATCCATGTCCATCTCTTCACTTCTGTTGCTGTTGATATACTCATAGAGTGACCCCAGAGAAGCATATTCTATTTTTAAAGGATAGATAAACACAGAATTAAAATCAAGGTACATTTTAGAATAAGGCTATAGAGTTTTCACTGGGAAAGACGTTAAAGACATCAAAAGTGTACAATAAAAATTGTTCCCTGTTTTGGCTTCTAAAAATTAATAAGACTCTGGATAGAAATTGACTAGATAAATAGTAAAACTTCAGTTAAGAATGAAATCAAAAGTCATTTAGGTGAAATTGAGAAATGCAAAGAAGGGAAGGCTGAACGTATATGATACAAAAGCAGACATGTGTTTCTCTAGAAACTGTTATTCTCATTAGATTGAAGAAAGACATAAAAAGCAGAGTTTATGTGACAATATAAAAAAAGCAAATCCTTGCTACATTAGGATTCAGTAGAAATTTTAATTGCAGAAGGTCAAAAAAGATTCATTATGGTGGAACAATGAATACCCAAAGGCAATAGAAGAAAGATCTTCACCATTAGACATTAGCTCGATTTGCATCAAAGTTGCGGAAAGGTCTTACCTGTGGGCTGAATAAGGCTCACAAAATTGTCTGGTCTAAACCTGGTACATCACATAGGATTCTCTCTGGCTGCCTGCGGCCCTTCTGCTTCTATTGTATGACTCATGAATTATGTTAAAAATATCCAAATGGTGCTTGGGAGAGAAAAAGGTTTACTATATCTAGAGATGTAATATTTCAGGTTGAGAAAATTCTATTCTTTAGTCTACTAAGGTTTCTAATTATAAAAGGGTGCTATGTGTTAAAAGTATGCTTATTCACTTTGGCTTTATCAGCTTTCTTGCTTTCTTTCTTTATATCCTACACACGAACAAAATCGTCAGATATTTGTCTTTCTCCTTCAGACAATTCTCTTAGCAAGACTCTCTGGTTCCACCCATGTTACTGAAATTATCTCAAGATATTGGAAACTTTCTATTGGCCTAGTTTCAAATTCATGATTTTTCTCTTTGGTTATCACAAAACTGCTGTTAAGCTACTGTAACTGGTGATTTTTTTTTTTTTTATACAGTGACTATCTTTTTTAACTGCAGGATTTCTGCTGAGTCCTCACAATTTTTTTTCTATTTGCTTGACGAAATTCTCTATTGTTTGATTCATTGCTTTCATGCTTTCTTTTACTTCTTTAAACATAGTGTGCTTTAGGTTCTCTGAACATACTAAAGCTTTGAAATCTTCATGTGTTAAATTCAATATCTTGGGATACTTAGGCAAGACTTCCACTGATGGCCTTTCTCCTTGAATACAGGTCAACCTTACTATTTCCATGCATGTCTTATAACTATTTTGAAAGGTGTGATAGGTCAGATGATATACTGAAGCAGTGCTGGATTCCGATCTATACTCTGAGGGTTGTTTTGATGTTTGTGTTTTCTGAATTGCTAAGGCTACACTGATTGATAGCATCTATTTCCCAGTGAGGTCTATAAAGCATCTTTTGGGAGGAGGGGTGGATTCTGGACCACATCTGACAATGTTCAGGGGATACTCCTGACTCTGTGCTCAGCAGACCATAGGTAGTTCTGGGGACTGAACTGGGCTCAGTTGCACGCAAGGTAAGTGCCTTAAGCCCTGTACTATCTCTCTGACCCTGAGCTGCATTTTCCCCCCAAATTTTTGATAAGCTCTGACATTTGAATATTTTAAAAAATTGAAATTACAAAGTAGTGGGAGGAGGTGGGGAACGAAGAAACATAGGGACAGTGGCAGAGAGTCTTGGGCACTTTGAGGCTGGCAAAGGTATAACAACCTTGTATAACAAAACCACAACATTATCACTACTGTAACCATGTTACCAAAAATATGATTAGAAAGAAAAAGGAAATCCTGCCCAAAATATCCTTTCATTGACCCTTAAAAAGCATATTTAAATATCTATGTCTCTGCGATGGAGAGACTTTGACTTTGATAGTGGTGGTGAGTGTGATATTATAACACTGTATGCCCGAAACTCAGTAATCAACAGAATTACAAGTCATGATGCCTAAGTAAAAATTAAAAATTTGCAAAGTATTTTCCTCTTTTTCTCTTTCTCTTTCTCTCTCTTTCTCTCTGGTCTTTGGGCCACACCTAACAATGCTCAGAGATTACTTCTGCTCTGCACTCAGGAATTATTTATTGTGGTGCTTGGGACAGTATTGTACCTACTGACTCTTTAGGGAGACAGATATAGATCTTAAAAAAATCAATTATAACTAAAGATTTTGGGTAACCATCATTATGGTAGGGAATGTATATAATAAAAGAATAACTAGCACTCAATTATCAATAATTTTGTAAATCATAGTTCTCTAAATTTAAAAATTAAGAAGAAATCCAAAGCTGCTTACGTTGTTCTTGCCTATTGTATATGGGAGAACCTGGGTTAAATATGCTGGTTATGAGGGAATGTGTTTCACATCCTTCTGGGGACTGTGAACAAACTCTTGGAAAAAATGAATTCACACCATGACTCAAGTCCCTTTTTATACTCTTCATCTTCAACTTAAGAAACTAAAATAGTTTATGAATAGTCCATTCAGTTGGAATGGACTATTCATAAACTATTAGCAAACAAAGTTAGCAAAAACAAAACAAAGTTAGCAAAAATCTTCCCAACAAAAACATTACACATCAGTGTATAAGAAGCAGAGTTTTTAATCTCTTTGAAACATTTCACCTCGCCCTTTTTTTTTTTGTTAGGGGGGGTAGGAGGAGGCTGGAGGAATTCACCCAGCTGTGCTCAGGGTTTATTCTTGGCTCTGTGCTCAGGGATCACTCCTGGTGGTGCCTGGAGAACTACATGTGTTGCTGGGGACTGAATTTGGTTGAACACATGCAAGGCAAGTGCCTTTTCTGCTGTACTATCTCTCTGGTCCGGAAACATTTCACTTTCATATGCTAAACAAGAAAAATTTAAGCCACAAAGTAAGAACCACATTTGGGCTGACAAAGGTAAAAAAAGTAAATACAACAAATTAGAAAAGAAAAAGCAATGTGGGTAACTGCGGTCTGTGACAGGGTTTAACTGTAAGATAGAAATCTCTCCTAAATGGTTAAACACGGTCTAGAGTAGATCTACCAGAGGCCTCCAACCTTACTGGGCCTATTTTCCCCATATCAGAAAAAAATTACTCAGCCCCAACCCTGGAAATCTACCTTTTATGGGGGATGGAGGGATGTCAAGGGGGCACTTAGCGTGCTCAAAGCTTACTCTTGGCTCTGCACTTAGGAATCACCCAAGTCAGCCACATGCAAGGCAAGTGCCCTACTCATTATACTACCACTCCAGCCTGAAAGTCTATCTTTTTAAGTGAACAGATTGCACCCAAGATTACCACCAATCCCCATCCCTACCCACCAATACTCTGGTTCCAGTGTCTTTCAAGGGGTGAAATCTCCTATTCTGCATAGCATTGACTCACACCTTAAGAGTATAACCCATTCTTAGGCAATCATCCTACTAAGAAGTGTACAGGCTTAAGATAAAAATTGCCACACATGCCATTTTAGGCATAGATCTAAAGATAGATAATGAGATAAACACACCCTCCACAAGAACCTCGATAAAGAACCATTTACCTGAACAGAAGCAGAGTGAAGTGTCCACCACTAGGAGATGGAAACAACAGCATCCATAACCCTCTGAGCTTACAAACCAACCTGCTCACAACTCCCTCAAGCCTAGCTTGCATATGAGAGTTGCTTCTGTGGAAGAGTCAGCTTTGCCTTTTATCACTACTAGCTGGAGGAGCTTGGGAAAGTTCACCAAGTTAGATTACAGGTTCTCATTTTAAAAAAGAAAATCACTTCTACTTAATCCTTAAGATTATTGCCAAGTGCAATTCATAAGTAAATGTACCTACTCAGGAGCAAGAAAGAAAGTATGAGTAAGCCACTCGCTTTGCATGCAGCCAACCTAGGTTCAATCTCCAGTGCTGCCTATCAACCCCAGAGCCCCATTGGGAGTGATTTCTGAGCACAGAGCCAGGGGGAAGCCCTGAGCACAGCCACATGTGGCTCCCAAACAAACCAAAATAAAAAGCCTAATCAAATCCATTTTTAATCAAGGCTTTTAAGTTATTTTCTACATAAAGAATCCAAATTTTTAACTCTACCGTAAAAGAAACCTAATCCTGACATCTGGGGTTTCTTTTGTTTGCATTAAAGATTTCTATATAAATAACTTGGTCAAAGTTATTTACTGTGAAACTGAGGACTATACTTGTTAGGAACTAAAAGTTGCTCATCTGATTATACAAATACGAGTATAAAGTATTAAAAATGTGTCTTTCTGTGTTTTTAAGTGGAAATTTTTTTCATGTGGTCCTTTCTGAAAAGGGCATTTCAGACTGCTGCTCTGAGTTAAATGATAATTTAGATCAAGGTCATTACCAACCCAGATGACCAAACCTAAAAAATATTGTTCTCATGTCAGAGACCCTGAAAAAAAGAATGCTCTAATGGGATTAAAATGCCTTGCAAAGAATTATATCATGAGAATCTCAAGAAATCTTAATTTGCAAAAGGTCACAGAGTTACAAAAAACATCGCTCATCCCAACTAATTAAATGAAATTTTAGTTAAACGGCACCTTTAAATATTGGTATTGCAGCTGCGAGTACATTTAAATAGCATTTACGCAGATATAATTAGCACAATTAAACATGGATAGAAGTGGAAACACCATTCTTAATTATATTGATATAATCAGTTTTATTAATGCTTTATAGCAACAAAAGTGACATCTGACAGTAGCACACAATTCATGACTAAACCTAATATTAAGCATTTTAGCATATTAAGGAGTCTAAAGCTAGGTAATTGGGGAAAGAAAAAAGTCAAATAATGAGTTCCTACCTGTGACGATTCCATAGTTGGGAGGTTCGAGGATTACTCCATAAAACTGAATGATGTTTCTGTGACTGAGGACACTGAGTATTTCTGCCTGTGCAAAGATCAAATACAAAACCACATGAAATTTCAGTCATACAAATTATAATAAAACAGATTTCCTATTCAATGATCTTTTACATACAATTTATACATAGATACATGGCATATGTCTTCAACAAGTTTGTAATACCAATAAAATTAGATTTAGGCAGCATTTTACAAAGTTAAAGAACTTCTACTGAAGCTAAGATTTCTGAAAAGTTTAAGAGAAAATGGATTTGAAGTGGCAATAAAAGAGGAACTTACTAGCAAGTTGGCATGATAGAGAGTGCAGGAGGACGAACAATGAGGGGAAACATATTTATTTACAGTAAAAGTCTCTTTGCCAACAGTCAAATATAAATGAGGTCTTTCCTAGGAGGTTGATAAATATGGAACTTGTATCAATTAGGTAAGTTGTTGTGATCAAACTGAGTAATAGTTTTTATAACAATTAATGGAATAGCTTCAGGTCGGACCCATTTATAATATTTATCTAATCACTCAAAATTTACTAGTGTTTCTGTGTGCAAAGGTACTATGGAAGATATAAAAGTGGGTTCTTGGCCTTCGGTAATGATTTTATATGGAAACCTTTACACTTTGAATTAAATTGTAGAAAACCATGTATAGAAAGAATAACATAGTAAAAAAACAAATACCACATTTTATACCTGCAACTCTCTATAAAGATGCTCTTTAGAATAACTGGATCGCACGTACTCATTTGAAACCTTATTGATTTTTGTTTATTTGTTTTGGGGACATACCCAGTTGTGCTCAGTTCTTACTCCTGGCTCTATGTTCAGAGATGACCCCTGGTGGTGCTCAGGGAAGTGTGTCTGGTGCTGGGGACAATCTCGGGTTGGTCATGTGCAAACTTAACCCCTGTACTGCCTCTTTAGCCTTAAAATTCTATTACTTGTGTAGAAATGAAATACATCTAATGAAAATTGTAAGCAAATGTATAACATAAGTTAAATATTAAAATGCTTATTACTTTCAAATGAAAGATACAGATTAACAGTAAAGAACAAAAAAAAAAAGGAAGAAAGAAAGAAAACTATAAGGTTTTTAAGTTCCAGTTCCCAATCATGAGCCACAATGAGAATGGAAAATTTTAGCTAGAAATGAGACTCCTCTTTGAGTTCTGCACACTGTGAATTAGTGCTATTGGTTTTAAACTTCTTTTAAGCTATAAGAATTGAGATTTCACTTAGAACCTCAAACTTAGTTAGAAGGTAGTATAACTAGGGAGAAACCAGAACGGCAAGAGGGTTGGCATGGGGTCAGTATGCAACTGCTCGAAGAAAGTTGATTGGATGAGACATTTATTAAGTCTGATTTGGCAGTGTTTTACTTTTACTGACATAATTGTTGAAGAGACCTATGAAATTTATTCTATTACTTGCTAAATGCCTACTATGTGCAGGGATCTTTATCAAGAAACCTTATTCACAGAATTCCTTTTTCAAGTAGGAAAAAAGTCTATAAGCTGAGCAATATTATAGCAACTCTATTTCTCATTAAGAAATAATAAATACCCCCAAGAACAAGAGAAAGCAAGATAATGATAAAACCTTTGCTACAACCTTAAACTGAAAAGTTTTTGTACAATTTATATATATATATATATACATATATATATAATAGCACAGCGGTAGGGCGTTTGCCTTGCACGCAGCCAACATGGCCGACGTGAGTTCGATTCCTCCACCCCTCTCGGAGAGCCCGGCAAGCTACCGAGAGTATCTCGCCCGCACGGCAGAGCCTGGCAAGCTCCCCGTGACGTATTCGATATGCCAGACACAGTAACAACAAAGTCTCCAATGGAGACGTTACTGGGCCCGCTCGAGCAAATCAACGAACAACGGGAGGGCCTTTTACTTTATATAATTAGAACAAAAACATATCTACCAAATGGAATAAGATTTTGCAATCAATCCATCCGATGAGGGGCTTAATACTCAAGGTATATAAGTCAACGCAAAAAGCAAACTAGAAAAATAACCAATTTTTAAAAATAGGTAACAAATCAAATTAACAAAAACACTTCCAAGAAGATATATAAATGGCTGATGGGTATATGAAAAAAATTCCTTATCATCAGGGAGATGCAGATTATCACCACATCTGTGAAAATGGTTTACATGCAAAGCAATAACAAGTGTTGAAGAGGGTGTAAAGAAAAGAAATCCTCATGTACTATCTCATGATGGCAATGTAAATTGGATCAACCATTTTGGAAAATCCTCCAGAGCTAAGCTAAAGATAGAGTTACCATATAATCCAGCAATCCCACTTTAGGGAATCTATCTAAACAATATGAAAAAATTCACACAAAATGTTATCTCCACTCATTATTTACAAGAAGGTTGAAGCTTGAAAACATGCTATGTGAAATAAAGGAAACACAAAAAATACCACACAATTTCACTCTTATGACATATCTTGAATTGGGAGATTCAGAGATATAGAAAGCATATGGGAAGTTATTAGTGGCTGGGGAAGGAAGAAATAAGGCATTATCGCTTAATGTGTAGATCTTCCTTTGGAATGATAAAAAAAGGAAATAGTGGTGACATATAGCACTGTGAACATAAACAATTATGCACTTAAATATGGTTAAAATGGCAAGTTTTATGTAATTTTAAATTATAGCACAATAAAGGCTATTTATTGTTTTCTGATCCTATAGTGCTGGGGATCAAACCCAGGTCTCACACAGGCTTTTAAGAAATAAATAAAGCTTAGATAGAATAGCACCGTACACTGTAGCACTGTCCTCCCGTTGTTCATCGATTTGCTTGAGCGGGCACCAGTAATGTCTCCATGTGAGACTTGTTGTTACTGTTTTTGGCATATTGAATGCGTTATAGGGAGCTTGCCAGGCTCTGCCAGGCAAGTAGGATACTCTTGGTAGCTTGCCGGGCTCTCCGTGAGGGGCAGAGGAATTGAACCCAGGTTGGCCACGTGCAAGGCAAATGCCCTACCCACTGTGCTAACGCAGACAAGAAGCGATCACATCTAAACCACAGGAATCATGACAGAATGTCCAAGAGTGACATTCTGATCAGAGTCCCCAAGTCACTGCAAACATTATATTTGAGTAAGCTCTGAGACTGACCCCAGTTGTCCCCAGCTAAGATCACTTTCTTTCCCACTTTTTGATTTGTTTCATAATAAGAAAAATTATGGGGGCTTACTTTGGTACCAAAGTTGGGAAGGAGGAGTGTGTTGTTGTTATTATTATTATTTTAAATCTGGCACTTCTATGCATTGATCTAAGATGGGCCATTAGCATAGTTTCAGATGTTTCCATAAGTCAACCAGCATGTTGGACCCAAACAGGCTCTAAATGGATTAAACCCATTGGAAAAAGAGAAGTCAAATACCTTAATTTAAATCTGACAAAGTATCATAATTTGATGAAACTTAAGAGAAGTTTTATTTCACCTTCCTTAAAGTAGCTTTTAAAAGTTTAATATGATCTTAAATCCTATTAAAATAAATATTAAAAATGCTTTACTAATCTTTGTAGTTATCCCTTACCCCTCATGCAGAATTTTTTTTTCAGCCTAATCCCACATTTATTTTGTTTTTTTAATTTTGGATACCTGCAGAGGAATCTTTAAAGGTTGGGAGATTTTAAAGCTTATTTTATATTTTCTATATTCCATTGCTATGATCTTTATCAGTGGTCTTCAATCACCTGTCCACAGACTGATGCTTATCTGCAGGAATAGACATATTTAAGAATTCTGGTCTAAAAGTCTTAATGTGAGAAATATAGAAAAACTAAAATTGAGATTACTTCCTTTCAAGAAAAACAATATAACAAATTGCCAGCACTCAACTTTCTATGGTCAAACCATCTGTGTCTGGCACTGTGAACTCTGTACTTCTACTAGTAACAAGTCTTTATCTCTGGGGGTCACCAGCTATCACATTAATCCAGTGGCATGACTGTACCTCACAGGACCCATCCTTGTGCCTGTGGCCGGTCATTGACAACAAAGACAGTGTGTGTGGCAAAATCCACAGGACACTTTAGTTTACAAGAATCAGATGCACCTCTTTGTCCTCCGCTGTTGGTGACATAAACCGATATCCCCATATTCTTTTCTTGCCAGTTTAAGGACTCTATGACTCCTTGCTGGCAAAGCCATAGCTCACACAATCAGTCAAGGGAGAGTCCCATGTTTTGAGCCATATCCAGCTGTGTGGCAGTGCTCAGGGTAGCACATGTGGTTATCGTGGATCAAACCAGGGTTGGTGGAATACAAGACAAGAGCCAGAACCCCTATGGAAACGTGATTTTACACTTGATCTTAGCCAAAAGGCCGATAATCGATGGAAACGTGATTTTAAAATGTTTCTATGGTTCTGAAATTTTCTAAACTGTCTATATCATTTATTTATATTGGTTTGGGGACCACAACTGGCAAATTTCAGGGTTTACTCCTCGATCTGTGGTCAGGGATTACTACTAATGAGGATTGTGGAACCCTCTGTGGTACTTGGGATGGAGCCCAGTTTGACCATGAGCAAGGCAAGCATTCTATCTGCTGTACCATCTCTCTGGCCCTCTCTCCTATCTATCTATCTATCTATCTATCTATCTATCTATCTATCATCTATCTATCTATCTATCTATCTATCTTTAGGATTTTGGCAATACTCGGGTTATCCTGATATGTATCAGAAATCACTCCTGGTAATGCTGGGGGGACCATATAGGATGTTGGGAATCGAACTGGGGTGGCCACGCGCAAGGCAAGCACCTGACTTGCTGTACTATCTCTCCATCTCCTATGAGTCTTAATGTCCAGGAAAAGGAACACATTATATGTAAAATATATGACTAGAACATATAAACATGAAAATATTCACGTGCATGGAAATCTTTATCTTATGATGGGATCAGGAAGAGGTAAAACTCTTTACCTTCCTGGGACTATGGCAGACCTATTTAAAAAAAAAAAAACTCAGAGCTTCTCCAGAGATGGAACA